ACTGCTTTATCTTCTTTACTCAAAGAAATTATGAAAAGTTGCCTATAATACATAAAAGAAATAGAAACTAAAGGACATTGGTAGAGGTTTAAAAATTAAGAATATACAACAGAAGGGGTAGAGTTAAGCCAAAATGAGAAGAGGCAAAATGCAATACCAGTGCTTTACAGTTGAAAATGAAGGCCAGTGTGAGACAGGCACTCAAAATGCAGGGAGAATACTGAGGAAAGAAGAAGGAAGCTGTGGTAGGCAGGTGACATATTCTGCCTAGAAATAATCACAGACCTGAAGCAGTGAAAAAGAGGGGGAAAAGGGAATAAAAAAGACTTTCAAATCTATAATAGAAGAAATAAAAACAATTTTCATAAATCAACTATATCAACCTACAGAATAATAATAATTCAATATGTAAACTTTTAACTGGAATATGGGAAAAGAGAAGGGAAAGAAGGAGAAAGTTTGTATATATGTATATGCAGGATAGTTAACACAGGTGTTCTACTGTCCTGTATTTCCTTGCTGAAAGAAACTGTCAGTGAGGCATTGGTTGATTAGCTTTGTATGTCTATATGTGTTTTCATGAGAAACTACATTGAAGATATCAATATGTAATACAATAAGCATTGTTAGTTCCCTACCACTCTGTTTGTAACTCTGTAATGTCTGTACTGATCCTTTGCTATTTTGTAAAACGTTGTCGATCTGTTAAAAAAAAAAATTGTAAACTTCCTCTTCAGGGCAAGATGGGAGGGATTATAGGAAGTCAGACCACTTGCCAAAAACAACTGGAAAAGTCAGATAGTATAAAATACAAAAGGCCAAAATTGATATTTAGATTTCATGCAGTCCCAACCCAAATACCAATGGCATTTCTCACAGATCTAGAGAAAACAATCCTAAAATTCATATGGGACAAGAAGAGACACAGAATAGCAAAAGCAATTCTGGGTAACAAAGGCAAAGCAGATGGTATTACAATCCCTTGAAGTTATACCATAAAGCTACAGTAACTAAAACAGCATGGTATTGGCACAAAAACAAACATGAGAATCAATGGAACAGAGAGGAGGAAGCAGAAACAACCCCACGCACGTACAGCTATTTGATCTTTGACAAAGGGGCAAAAAACATACACTGAAGGAAAGATAACCTCTTTAATAAATGGTGTGGGGAAAATTGGCTATCCAAGTAAAGAAGATTGAGTCTAGGCACATATATCTCACCATATACTAAGCTAAAATCAAAATGGATAAAAATCTCTAAATGTTGAAACTGAACCTGTGGAAGATAAAATAGGTAAAATACTTGAAGACAGAAGTTTGGGCAGAGATTTCTGAAATGGCACAAGAAGTACTACTGAGAAACAACAAATGGGATCATATCAAATTAAAAAGCTTCTGTGCAAGTGGGAAACAACCACAGAGTGAAGAGACAATGTATAGAATGGGAAAAAATGTTGCCAGCTATCCCTCAAAGAACTAACATATAGAATATATAAGGAACTCAAAAATTAAGCTCCCAAAATAAAAGACCCAGTCAAAAATGGGCAACTAAAATAAACAGACACTTCTCAGAAGTACAAACAGCCAATAAATACGTGAAAAAAAATTAAGAAAATGCACATTAAAACTACTTTGTAATACTCTCTTACTCCAGAAATAATATCTGTCATCAAAAAATCTAATAATAACAAATGCTAGCAAGGATGTAGGGGAAGGGAACTCTTCTATCTTGTTTGTAGGAGTATAAAGTAGTACAACCACTGTGGAAATCAGTGTGGAGATTCCTCAAAAACCTAAAAATATAAATTCCACTTGACCCAGTTATCTCTTTTCTAGGTATCTTCCCAAAAGAGTTAAAATCACCATATTACAGGGACACATGTATACCAATATTTATAGCAGCACAATTTATAACAGCTAGACTGTTATTCAAAAGATGAGTAGATACACAATGGAGTAATACTCTGCCATAAAGATAAACTTGAGGAATCATAGGTAAATGACTGCAACTTGAGAACATAATGTGAAGTGAAATGTCAGACTTGCAATCTTAAATATCACATGGTTTCTCTTACATGAAAATTTCAAAATATGTATGTGCAAATGAGGAGCAAAATGGAAGACAAGCAGGAAGTGGGGAGAGGTCCAAATTACCTATCCCATTGTTTCAAAATATTTTAATATGTACACTAATTTATACTAGTTTTGTTAGTTCATTGAAAAAAGAAAGTTGTGTGCTAATATCTGTATGTTTCTTTATAAGAGAGAATCTTAAAAAAAAAAAAAAAGAGAAAATCTTTTCCATTGGTGTCTTATACTCTGAGTAATTACTCTGAGATAATGAGACACTGTATTAACTATTATTCTCTCATTATTTTGTTATGACATTTTGTTTTATTTTTTTCCACAAGGCAAAATACAAAAACTACAAGGGCAGTTTTCTCCTTTAACCATATGCTGAATTCTGAAGTTGGGTGGGGTGGAGCTGACAGAGAGCCCCGGAGCTCTGAGACACAAAGCCAAGTTTCCATAGTCATGTGGTAGTGAGGAAGCAAAGACCAGGGTTCACACTCCCAAGGAGGGGACTCAATGACCCCTGCACACTCCCACTTGGAACATCACAGGGCCAAACACAGGAATGGGGTGAGAAACCATAATGGTGGGTGGCTCTGGTGGGAAAGCAAGGTGGGTGCAGGTTGGATGTGGTGGAGGAGGGACTGCAGGGTCCCCTAAGGTGATGGAAATGTTCTATTCCTTATTAGGGGTGTGGATTACATGGCTATTAGCATTTTTAAAAAACTCATCAAACTTTATACGTAAGATCAGGATTTTACTCTCCTGATCTGATCACACCTGGGGTGGACTAAAGGAACACTTTGCTTCCTCTGTCTTTGCGTCCTCAAATGATGTGTGTGCAAATATCAAAGACTTCCCTTTGTCTTTTTTCTTTTTCTTTTTTTGTTCAGGAATTTCACTTAAAGTCATATAAAAGTTGCTCAAGAAAACAGTATGTAATATAGCAACCATTGTACATTTCTATCATTTTGTCTTGAGGTCATGTATCATTTTTGTTGTTTTGATTTCATCTTCATTGTTTTGTCAGTTTTTTTTATTTAAAAAAGCCATATAAAAGCCTTCCTTTTATTTTTTAAGTATTGGGGATTGAATCCAGGGTTTTCACACTAAGATCTATCCCTGCCCCCTTCTTTTAAAATTTTTTTTTATTTTGAGACAAGATCTCACTGTGTAGCAGAAAATGCCCCTCAGCCAGTATACTTCAGTTTCTGTTAGTTGCCTAGGTGACAGTTCCTGTTACAGTTCCTGTTACTTTTGTTTCTTAGAAGTGGCTGGTCACTATGATGTATATTGTAAGAACCAATCAATAAGTGCCAAATACTGTGCTTCTGTACTTCCTGCTTGCTTATCCTATATAACCCCCAACCCGCCAACAATCAGGGCCTAACATTTTTTTCTAGAGGTCATTGCCTCTCAATGTAAATAAATCTGCCTCTAAATCCTGGGCTGCATTTTGGTGTTTCTGTTTACTGTTGCAACTAATTTGCCCAAACTGGGCTCACACTTGTAGTCCTCTTCCCTAGAGTGCTGAGATTATAGACATGCATCATCAACCCCAGCTAACCCTCCCATCTTTAAAAATATTTGACGCTCCCCCCAAAGTAAGTTGTCTGAGAAAGAACACCACTTATTTTCTCTTGGATGGTTGGGAAAATTATCAGCATGGATGATTGCATGAAGGGTGAGCAGTTCACCCCCATCCAGATGGCCCAAAATATGCCCCTGGCCTCCAGCAGGCTCTGGGCTAGTTGAGGACTCCCACAGCTTCCTGGGTTCTTCACTTCCTCCTTGATTCCCACTCGCCATGGAGACAAGCTCCTGAGGCTTGTAAATTCAGGAGCCCTGACTGCTACCCCTTACTGGGTGTGTCTTTCTCACTGTCTGCTACATGTTTCTGCCTTGGTGATATCCTGGTCCAAGCCTTAGCATGTTGCTCATAATCTCTGAGAGCTAAAGCAGCCTTTACCAGTCTTCAGGACTAGGCAGTAGTTCTGAAAGCAAAGGTGTGATCCTTAATTGTGATGTCATCTTGGTTTTAGTAAGCACCACCTAACAAATTAGTAAAGCTCTGGGTGTGTTTCAATGATTGATAGGTAGGTTGCAGACTGAGGAGAAAAGACCCACCCCAGATGTGGGTGGCACCAACCAATAGGCTTGCAGCCTTTGTGGAACAAAAAGGGGAAAGAAAGAGGTGTTCCAGTCTTCTGTGTCACCTTTGGATCTTAGTCTCTCATTTCTTCAGGCTTCCAGCAAGGACTTTTAAACGCAGACCCTTTGGACCCTTCAGTTTTCCAAACTGGACTCCCAAGGACTCATACCAGCCTCTGCAGTGAGCTCTGGGCCTCCAGCCCTGACTGAATCCTTTGCCTCCTGACTGCAGATCACCATTTGGCACTTTTCCAATGCTGATTCTGCAGGCATCCATTGGAAGCCCACCTAGTGAATCCTTTATATAACCTTATATATATTTGTATATTGTATATTAAATCTGTTCCTCTATTGAACCCTAACTGATACAAAAGGCAAGTGAAGAAGCCCCAGGGAACCTTCTAGAAACAAAGTTGGTGGGTCTCAGGACAAAGCTAAAAATGAAGGGAGAGAGTGGGAAGTCTTCCTTACTTGGTGAGTTGTCTGCCCTTTGGATTCTAAAGGTTACTGTGAAAGGATGCTTCTTTGTCACAAGAGTCAATGGGCTTTCTGCTGCAGAGGTCCTGGCCCTTCTTCCCAGAGGAAAAGGAGATGGTCCATGATGACCCTTGGGGACTGCTGGACCTGCTTGCCAGACCCCAGAGAGCCATGGCTGTACAGTTACCCCAGGTCACTCTTGATCCCCACGGGTAAGAGTAGCTTAGGAACCTCATGTCTCTGTCCTCATCACTTACACTCATTCTCCGCTTCTTTCAGAAACTGAGAACACTTAGGTTTTGAGAAAATGCTATTTTTAATCACCAGAATAGTACAAGCATCACAAAATACAGGAAGAAGATGACCAGGTGTGGGAGAAGCCATTGTTGCCCAGAATCCGGCTCGTGTCTGTAAGGCTTCCCTGCCTGTGTTGTCTCGCTGTTAATCCACAGCAGATAATTTGACACCTTTGTGTACAACCCAGGATATTCCTTTCTGCCACAGCTTACGCCCCAGCTGACAATGCCTAGCTGGTACCATGAGCTTTTTTTCTTCCCCTTTTTGAGGCAAACCAGAGGTCCTCCACTGTCACCCTAGGAGAGAAAAGTTGTTTGGTTAAAGAAGAGACAGTAGTACTACTCCAATAGCCCATGACCAAAAGTGCAGGGTGTCTTTGGATGGCAAATGTTTTGACTGTGATTCAGTCCTTTAACTGCATGACTCAGCTCTGTGACTGTTGGAAGCTGGTACACAATTTGGCCAAAAATGAATCTCCCTCTCCAATCATCATCATCATCATCTCTCTCTCATCAGTAGTATTAGTTTTGATGTATCAAGAAGTGCTTTTCTTGTCCCTTTTGCCTCTAAGGACTTTTGCTGTTTTTCAGAAGTTTTCAAGCTTTCTCCCTGCCTTTTCCCTTCAAATTCATTTTCTACCAGCTCATTTGTCTCTTTCTGTATTACTCACAGGAGCAAAAAGTAAAAAACAAAAACAAAAATCCATTATGTCTCCTAATAGGTCATTGGTGGAATCTATTAGGCACATAAGTTTATATAGACCAAATGCAAAAAGACTAATACTATGTCAAAACGTCACGTTGTGGTTCAAAGCACTAAATTTTAAACAACTTACAAATTTAAAACATCAGGAAAAAGGTCACCAAATTAGCATAAGTAAGCAGACTTAATGGTAGACACAACTGATATAAAAATTGAGGAATGTGGTAGCTTTCATGCCCCCAAATCTTTTGGACTATTTTTGAAATTCTAGTAAAGGTGTATCATCATTAAGAAAAAAATTGGAAAACAAAGACATGAAAAAAGAATAAAAAATACCCATAATGTATAAATAACACACATACACAATCGTGTCTGAAAAGAACATATCAAGAATACGCACTCATGTAACTGTGGTTTACATTTGGGCAACAAATGCAAGAGGTAATTCTTCTCTTCATTGTACATCTATCTGTAGAGGTTGAACTTTCTTTACCATGTGTTTGAATAAATAACTGAAATCAACAGTGCTCCTATTTCTACCCTGCAGAGACAGGGTATCTTCAAATCTTAATATCTTCAGATGTAACTTTCTAAATCCTTGTATGCAAATGTGTATACATCATTATCATTTTACAGAAATAGGATCATGCTGTACATACTGTTACAAAACTTACAAAACTTTATTTTCAAAATATTTTGTGATACCCAAAAAGTCGGATAAAACCACCTCTCAGGGATTTGCTAAAAACCCAAATCCAAGCCAAAAAATTTGAAAACTCAAAAGATGGGATATGTTTTTACTTGCTTTCCTCAATACTAGACTGTTGTCACAAAGAAATTATTGTCCCCATCAACTCACTTTGAATCAAACTATTCTTGGCCGAATGCCATGAAGTCACTGGAAAACCACATAACCTTTCTTATAAATGAAATTTGTTGGGGACCACAAATTAACAATGGCTAATTTTGCACACTTCTCCAAGGAATAAATGGAGGCTTGGGATTATCAGTATTACCCTTTTGAGATTTCCCATTAACTCTGTAGGGATAAGCCATCCTCTCCCAGCCGCTGAGACCAAACTAAAACCACTAAGATTAAAAAAAAAAAAAAAACTCCAGGGCAAACACCCCCTTCTGAGGATAGGATCATCTTCACCTGCTTGCTGTCAGCCCAGGATTATCTGTTGCCCACCGACCTTTGAGTCTTCTGCTACCTGGAATCTTCGCTAGCCCCTCTTATCATCATGCACACCCAGTAAATAGTGGATGGCTTGCAGTGTCTTTGTCTCTGCCCATCCTGAGGCACTGGCCTCTGAGCCCCCCTTCATGTGTTACTAAACTTATTTCTGTTTCTTATTTCACCCTTTGACCATACCCCTCACACAGGCAGTTGGGGATCTTGGCCAGGTCCCTGATAGAAATTATAATTCATTGTGGAGATGAGAGGTCCATGGGAAAGAAGTTCCACAGACCAGTGTACACTTGGGTTTTTACACATCTGGAGCCAAGAAGACCTTGGCTTAAACTCCAGTGGGAATGCTGAGCTGGGCTAGAATTCTCACACTGTCTTCAGTGTGGGGTTCAGTGCCTGCCTGTGGGTTAGCTGTGTGAATGGGAGGAAGTGCCTGGTCCAGGTCCTGATAACGGCACACTGTTATGGTTTATGTCTGAATGTTCCCTTAAAGCCTTATGCAGACATGGGGTGGTTTTCTAGAGTTTATGATTGATTCATGGTCCAGTGTTGGAATTATGGATGTGAGTGCTACACCCACCCTGGGGCAGATAGTTTGTATACAGTGTAAGGGAGGGAAAGAGGCTGTTTGCCCCCTCACCTCCCTTTTGCTCTTGCTGATTTTGCTATCCTCCCCTGCCATGAATGATTGCCCTCTGCCATGTGCCACCTTGCCTTGGAGCCAGCCGAGTATGGACTGAAACCTCCACAGACTGTGAGCTAAATAAACCTTTCCTTCCTGAATTCTGGGTGTCAGGTATTTTGTCTCAGCAATGAGAGAAAAGTAACCAAGACAGAATTTGGTACCAGAGGAGTGGGGTCAATGCTGTGACTATACTTGACCATGTGGTTCAAGAGCCTTTGGAAATGGCTTGTGGGAAGTGTTTGGAAAGGTTTGGAGACTTTGTCTGAAAGAGTAGAGATGGAGCACCTAAAGCTGTTCTGTATGGGAGAGTCTGGTCAGAGCTCAGAAGACCAGAAGGATGATAGAAATCCTGCCAGTAAAGACCCGGCTTGGGAGGTTTCTGCTGGGAAGGACTGCACTGGTTTGTTGGCCTCCAGATGATGTGTGTTATGGCTTGGTAGGAAGCTTGTCTGCATTTTGCTTATGTCCAGAGACTTTGCCTAAGACTGAGAGTAAGGGCAGTGGACTAATTAATCTAGCAGAAGAAATTTCATGGCAGTTGGATGTTGAGGCAGTGGCTTGGCTATTGTTGGGGGCTTTTAGCCAGATTTATATTGAGAATCAAGAGCAAAGAGCCCAGCAGAATGATTTAAAACATTGTGAGTTTGGCCAGAAAGGCAGCTCCTGTAAAGCTGCGGATTGCAAAGATAGAGCTGAGGAGATCTCCATTGCTGAGAAGAAACAAGAGAATGGAAGAGATAGCCTGAGGGCATCAAAAGAAGCAGGAAGTCTCTACCCTTTGCAAACTCAAAACTGCAAAGGTGAAAGACTTTGCTTTGAGAAGAAAGCCACAGAGACCCATGTTCCAGAATGGCAGCAGCTGCTGCACAAGTTCCAGAACGGCGGCACTAAGAATTTGTTCCTCAGAATTGGATTCAGAATGCCCAGTAGTCCAGGCACTCGACCCCTATGGCCAACAGAGGAGAAGGCTTGGCTACTGCTCCAGGTGGCAGCAGACCTCAGCATCATCCACATGGCCCTGGTTTTAGGTGCATACAGAATGCAAGAGTTCTGAGGTTAAAAAGGCTTCCACCTCAATTTCAGAAGGCCTAAGAGGCCAGGCAATGTGCCCCTGAGAGGGCAGTGTGTGACACTGCGAGTGTGAAGAGAAAGGTGCAATGGAGACCTCAGAAGTTTGGAAAATCCAGGAACCTGGATTGTCTGGGGATTGTCTGAGGAAAGCTACAAAGAGGGAGCAAAGGAGGCACAAGGGAGAAGCTGTTGGAGCTATAACCACCAGAAGTGCCATAGGGGTGGAGTCATGCAAACTCTTTGGAGCTCACAATGTGCCACAGATTGCTTCAGATGCTGGACATGGAACTACAGGACATAATGTTAGCCCTGCTCGATTTTTGACCTGCTTTGGTCCCAATGTTCTGTATCCCCCTGTTTGTAACTTTTGGAGTGAAAATGTTTATCTTGTGCCATTGAATGTTGGAAGTGTTTAACTTTTCATTTGTACAGGGGCTCAGAGCTAAGAGTTTGCCTTACATCTCGGAGGAGACTTGGGACTTGGACTCTTCAGCAATGCTGAATCTGTTAGGATTATGGCAACTCTTAGAAATGGACTAACTGCCTTTGCATAAAGGGATGTGCATGAGTCTTTGGGGGGCCAGGGGCAGAATGTTATGGTTTGTGTCTGAATGTCCCCCTAAAGCCTTATGCAGTCACTGGACGGGCTTCTAGAGTTTATGATTGATTCATGGTCCAGTGTTGGAATTACGGATGTGAGGGCTACCTGTGCCCTGGGGTGGAGAGTTTGCATGCAGTGTAAGGGAGGGAAAGAAGCTGCTTGCCTCTGCCTCTCCTCCCTTTTGCTCTTGCTGCTTTTGCTACTTTCCCCCCCCCGCCGTGAATGGTTGCCCTCTGCCATGTGCCACTGAAATCTCCACAGACTGTGAGCTAAATAAAGCTTTCCTTCCTTAATTCTGGGTGTTGGGTATTTTGTCTCAGTAACGAGAGAAAAGTAACCAAGACACACACATTTGCTCAAGGACAGCTCTCTTACATATGGGGATATTGGACCAGGCAAATCTTGGCTGGTTTGACTTGCTGGATTTAAAATTTCATTTTTACTAGAACCCAAAAGATAGGAGAAAGCCACGAGAAGTCTGAGGTTGGAGTGAGGTTTCTACAACCCAAGAACACCAATGATTACCAGCTGCCATCAGGAGCCAGAAGGGGCAGGACAATGTCCTCCTTTAGGCCTGGGGAAGGAGCAGGACCCTCCGGATGTCTTAGGCACGTGGCATCCAGCACGAAGTAAACATCAGTCATGCTGTTTTCAGCCACCCAGTGTGGTCATTTGTTATGGCAGCTGCGGGAAGCTACGGTGGCATCTTCTCCAGAGGAGGGGCAGGGAGCCCATCACCTTTCCATACCAAGCCTAAGCCCGTTACCTGGCAGGTATCCTTCCCATCTTTAGAACTTCCAGCACACAGCATATTCATGGTGACTATAGAAAAAATATCGTAACACTTTTCCCATTCAACCAGGTCAAGGTCGACTTTCTGCAGCTTTGAAACTCTCCTTAAATTTAAACCTGAGGAGAAGCAGATGGAGAGAGGGTCCTGAGCCCAAAGTGGTCCCTTACGGTTGAGGTCAAACACCCACCCACGTGATGTCTTTTCACACCCATGACAAGGGGACTGCCTACGGCCCAGAGAACCATTCCAATATGGACTGAGGAGAGAGGTGAGGGAGCTGCACCGTGTAATCCAGAGCTCTCCAGGACAAGGTCCCTGCTAAGTTTCAGCCAGAGGCCCTTATCTTGCCATCCACAGAAGGTGCCAGGCGCCAGGTGGGATTCTCAAAAGGTGTTGTGTTTGTCCCATCTGGAGAACCCATGATGGCAGATTTGTTCTGGGGCCAGACAGAAGGACTCAGGTCACCTCAGGCCCCTGTGCACCTGAAACCCACTCCCTGAAATGTTCTCTCCCCAGTACAGGGGCGTTTCCCCTTCTCTGGCTGAATCCCCATGGTCAGGATCACTTCCTGGAACAAGACAGAAGGTCAGTGGGTTGGGTGAAGCTTGAAGAATTCTAAATTAAGAAGATGGTCTTTTTTTCTTTTTTGCAGTACCGGGGATTGAACTCAGGACCTTGCACTTGCCAGGCAGGCACTTAAGCCACTGAGCTATATCCCCAGCCCCGCAAGAAGATGGTCTTTTACGGAAGCTCTTGAAAAGCTTCTCAGGGTGATTCCCAGCGAGCTTGGAGCTCTGGGCTCACCCTGGTGTAGTGATCAGCCTCTCGAGTGCCTGCTTGGAAGAACAGTGCCGCCTGTGACATGTTTCTTCCCCTCTGTTGTTGATGAGGCAGCAGGGACACGCTGGCCAAGAACAAAGATGAAAGGGACTGTTTGGCAATTGTCTAGGCAGTGGCCTGGGAGCTGGCTGCAGGTCAATTCTGTCAGGTAAAATTTATGCTCATTTATCCCCTCCTCTCATCTTGACCTGTGATTATCAAATATTTTGGCCAGAGGCCTTTGTAGAAGACAGCAGATCAGACGTCATCAACTGGGACTGAGCTGCTGTAGCTGACGGTGGTATGGGCTTCCCAGAGGCTGATTCCCCCTTCTGCTTCTTTGCCCTTCTGGTTGCCCCTCAGAATTCCTCTCAATCACCCTTCACACTTGGAAGACCTCTGCCTGGGTTACCCCTGCGTTCCTCTGTAGGGTTCATGGGCCACAGAATGTGCACTTGTTAACAGGATCCCAGAAAGACCTGTGAAAGATGGCTTCCCAGTGGGCTGAGAATGAGGCTCATGATGGGATTTCAGTGATAATTAAAGTCCCCAAACATGCCAGAAAGAATTCCCTGGGAGCATCCAGAGTTTGCTTCCCATTCTAAATTCCAGGCGGGTGCCACCCCACCCTGGCTGGCCCGGAGGAACTCAACTGGTAATGCCCCATCCGGTCACCCAACAGGTAGTCCATGCCTTTTCACTGGTGACCTCTGTAAGGCAGATGGGCACTGTTGTGCTATCCCAGGTTAGCGGAGATTTGAGCAAGAGCAAAGCTATGTCATTATCATAGATTCCACTGTCATACTCGGGGTGGATAATTAGCTTGTCCACTTCCACGCTGTCCATGTAGTTGGCTTCTAAGTCCTCTGTGCCATGTATAATCACCAAATTTGACCTGATTTCAAAATAAAAGGAGAAGAAAATAGTGGAAATGCAATAATACTCTACGTGTGTGGCTGAGATCCTAAGAAGTAGGAGTTGGGGGAGGTATCTGGGCCATGCATGGGCCACAGAGCCAAGCAGAGACTCCCATCCAGGTGGCAGGAGACAGATCTGAGTTTCAGGCCTGCGCTTTGCTAAGTGGCACTTAGCATGATGGCCTCCTGCTCGGGGAAACTGACCTTTGTGTTTCATCAGCCAATACTTCCCAGTGTGTTGGAAGCTGTGGTGTGCTCAAGCCACTGGGGGACTTGACCTTGACTTGTAAGAAGGGCTGCAGAAGAAGTACCCGAAAAGCTGCTTAAAAATCCTGATTTGTGAATGGACTTGGGAGCTTCTGATGTGCAGTTAGGGGTGCAGTCCTGCCTTCAGGTGCTAACGCCTTCAAGAACTGCAGTTCTACAGTCATGATCAGCGCATGGCCCCTCCAAGGGACAGCAAATATTTGGAAAAGTGCTTTCTAGAGGTCAGGCCAGACCCACATGAACTCAGCAAGATGCAGTCTGAGGCACATCTGTGCTTCAGTTTAGGCATTCAGAAAGATGGGAGCCACCCTAGGAGGACAGCAGCTTACCCCTGAGCTGATGAGTGGAGTGCACAGCTGCACAGGCCTTTATTGAACCCCTGAAATTTTGTTCTATGGCTGACAAACTAGTTGAGGTTCTGGGGCACACGGGAAAATATTCTACCATACAGGTTTAAAAAAAAAAAAAAGAAAGATTCTGTTTGCGGTACTTACTGATTGGTTCTTTCAAAGCAATGGGAAGCAGAGAGAATCCACCACTCATTGAGAATACTTCCTCCACAGATATACTTCCCTTTGTCCAGAATACCCACCTGCCATGGGAATTCTGTAATACTTGCAGGCTTCCCGCCTAAGATTGGAGAAATCTCAAATGGCCCAGATTCAACTTTGATTCTTTGGCCACACTTTACTAAAAGAAAGAGAGAAGAGGGAGGAACGTGTTAGGGCCCAATAGTGAAGCCGACGGGCTTGGAAGTAACCACTGTGGACCCTCTGCTCCCCTGAGCACAGGTGGACCCTGTACTCCCCCTCAAACACCCTTGCCCCACGTGCCAACCAATGGCACCCCAGTGTGGGCAGTGTGCTCCTGAGGTACCAGCTGCCACCATCGCCATAGTGTGGCCTTCTGAAAGGTTCTCTCGATGCAGACCTGGGCGGAGGAAGCTTGCAGCTGCAAGCCCTGGAGCCAGATTTTGCTGCTCTTACTCCTCCACCTCCCGCAGCCAGGGAATATTGGTTTATTTAAATTGTGCAGCAGTATCCTCTGAACAACAGGAAACCATGATGTGGCATTTGTCCTCTGTCCCCACACCTCACACCCATCACTGGTGGTCAGAAGGGGTGGTGATGGCGGAGGCGACCTTAAAGTGCATGTGGTTGTGTGTCTGGTTGTGTAGTGCAGGATGTGTGGTCTGTGGTCTGGGGTTTGGGGTACGTGCTTTAGCACTGTGTGGTGTGGGGCTGTGTGGTGTGGGGTTGTACGGTGTAGGATTTGTGGTATTGTAACAGAAAATGGCCCCCTCAGCCAATAAACTCCAGTTTCTTAGTTGCCCAGGTCATAGTTCCTGTTCCAGTTCCAGTTGCTTGTGTCTCTTGGAAACGGCTAGTCACTGGGATACACACTGCATCAACCAATGCCCAATGACAAGCCCTTCTGCCTTTGTACTTTCTGCTCGCTTATCCCATATAAGCCCTGGACCACCAGGGATTGGGGCCGGATATTCTGGGAGTGATCCTGATCAGTGCCCATTGACGTAAATAAATCTGCCTCCGAACCCTGGGTGTCGTTTCGGTGCTTCTGCTTGCTGTTGCTGTATGTGGTTGTGTGGTGCGGGGGTTGTGTTGCTATAGGGCTGCGTGGGGGTTTTGTAGCAGGAAGCTGTGTGGTGTGGGCTGGGCTGTTGGGTGATGGTGTTGCGTGGCAGGGCCGTGTGGCTGTGGTGGCTGTGGTATGGACTTGTGGTTCTGGTGTGTGGAGTGAGATGTGGAAATGCTTGGAAGAGAGATCACACACTGCTTCCAGGCAGAGCTCTGAGAGTTGGTGCCAGCACCGTCTGTGTCCCGACCTTAGCCCCAGGCCGTCCAAGCTCCTGGGCCTCACAGGTGTCTGCCTCCTGCTTCAGGAGAGCTGAGTTAGCCGGATGGGTGCCACTGGGCTCCAGGGAGAGGAAAGAGCCCTGTGATTCACTGCATCATCTCAGAACAGGCTCCTTAAGGGATGAGGCAATTAACTGCCGCTCAGGGTCCTGCTGAATGTCATTCTGCTGGAGCGTGCGGCCCAGGCCTCAGCCCACTCCTCCCTGCACCACTTTGCCGGAGGGTCTGGTCGCAGACCCTGCCTCACACACCACCTTGGTGCATCCATGTGCACAATGATCCCGCTCCGAACGGCGCACTCACAAGATGGTCCCGGAGGCAGCACCCAACCTAACAGGGCCCAAACTGAACTATCACCCAGGGGCCCGCACCCCAGGTCAGCTCCGGGACCAGCCCTCATCCTTGTGGTCACTCAGGCAGGAGCACCCCACCCCCCATTGTCCTTGTCTCCCCTCTTCCTGCTCATGTCCACTACCTCAGCAGGTTCCTGATTCTGCTTACAAACCGCCTCCATCTGGAAGGAAAGCCACCCAGTCTGTCCCTCTGCTCAACTGCAAGCCCAGCCGCGCCTTCATCCTCTCACACCACGCACTCCTCTGCCTCCAGCTCCTGCCGGCACAGTCCCTCTTTAAAGCAGCCTGCCCCTCTCCTCACAGCGCTCCCCCTCGCTCTCCTAGTGAGATTCACCAGTGGTGTCCAGTGACCAGAAAAGCCTGGAGTTCTTCCTGTGCGCAGGCCCTGCGGCCTGTCTGAACCCACCCTTACACAGCCGCTTCCGGTTCGCCCTGCCCCAGCGACACTGGCCTGTCTGCCTCTGCCTCACAGCAAGCCTGCTCCCTGCGCAGCGCCTTTGCTGGGTCTAAGCCGCCTCGTCAGACCGGCTCAAGCCAAGGCTCAGTGTCTCAGAGAGGGCTAGGCTAGGACGCTCCATCAGGTGCCCCAGGCCTCCCATCACGCTTCCATCTGCTCCTCACCATTGAGCGGTGTTTATCCATTTCTGCTTACTACTGTCCCCTCACCTGCTTACGGGAAGGGGCTGAATGTCATTCTCTGCTGCAAACGCAGCTTCAAAAACAGCGCCATCCTGAGGCAGGGCTGGGATATCTGCTGGCCAGCATGCTGCCCGGGAAGGGACACTACATGCTCAGCGTCCAGGAGAGGCGCCGTGGTGGGCATGGACACACGCCTTTGATCTGGTTCTGGGCCCTGGCGGCTTGTGCTAGACCTGGTGGGCCCTGCAGAACCCTCTAGAAGTTTTCATGGTGACATGGTGGCAAGAATAGACCCTCTGAGGATTGTACACTGGCCTTAAAGTGACTGTTCGTGGCTGGAGGGCAGGATCTCTGCTTGAGAGCCCATCAACTTTCTGGAAGCAGCTACTGAGATTGGCCTTTGGCTTTGGAAAACTTTAGTACCTAACACAGATGGTCTCACACACACACACACACACACACACACACACACACAGACACTCTCCCTCTCTCTCTCTCTCTCTCTCTCTCTCACCAGATTTTTTCGCAGGTGACTTTAAAGCATGGGGTGCTCCCAGTGTGGAAGTCTGGCCAGAGACTCAGCAGAGGGGCCTCCTGGGAGTGCAGCCCCCCAACCCTCCCATAACTACCGGGTAAGGTGAGCACCCCTGGGGATCGGCCTTGGGAACTAGCTTCTCCGGGGAGCAGGGGGACAGTTGCGAGGGCCCCGCAGAGACCTACTTGCCAGGGAACTGTGTGCCCAGCACAGCAGTAGGACCACCACCAGCAGGTGCCACGCTCCTCCCTCTCTCCATCCTGCCATTGTCCCCAGGGATGGAGAGGAGTCAGCTGGGGAAGGGGCAGTGCTTCCTCCCCTGTGGCTGCCAGCTCACAGACTGGCCTGACTGCCAGGTCACAATAGGGCCTTGGGTGGAGCTAGTGTGGTCCCCAGCAGCTGTGGGGCACCCTGAGTCCTCTGGGGCGTGGAAGACAGAGTGGGGGAGTTACAGGCAGGGAGTGGGGGACCCCATGTGCCCTGTGCTCCCACCCGTGTGTGTGTGTTGGGGGGTGAGGCGTCTCTAGGGATGGCCTCGGGAACTGAGAAAGGGCCGAGGTTTCTGGTCCAGACAGGCCAGGTGACACAGCAGAGCAAAGCAGTGGTGCAGACTCTGCAGCAGAGCGCTCCTGTCAGCAGCAGGGCCTCAGGGGCTCGCTGAACTTGGACCCTCCAGCTGCTCATCTGCAAAATGGGGCTAAGAACAGAACATCGCTGTGTTGCCGAGCGCATCCAGGAGCTAATGCACGGGACCCGGCAAATGCTGAGCACATGACTCTCACTCTCCGAGTGCACGAGGATTCACATCTTCCTTCAAGACCGCAGTGTCTCTGGACAAGTCGCACAGATCCACCGCAGGGGGCGGCCGCAGAGGATTGCTGTTCGTCTTCCTTCGTGGCACTATCAGTGTGGAACATTTCCTAACCGGCCACGTTGGAAGATGACACAAAGGTGGCTGGACACCCTCTGACCTCTTGAAGCTCACGCTATCTGGGGCAAATACAGGAGCAGGGACCCTGGGCGCCGGGAGAGGGTGTTCTCGCCAGCTGGTGTGGAGGACACAGGTGGGGGGTATCAGCAGCGTTTCCTGGACATTAGTCAGTCTGCAAACAGAAATGGCTTTGGATAAAGGCAGCAAAGCATTTGTCAGGGTTAAATCGCACCCCTCGAAACTCCCATGTTGAAGTCCTAGCCCGTAGGAGTCAGCAAGTTACCTCATTTAGACGTAGGGTTGGTGCGCATTAATTCTTAAAGATGAGATCTTGTTAGTGTAGGGAGCGTCCCTTCTCCAATAGGACCGCTATCTCCGTAGAAAAGGGACACAGGAGATGCAGCCACAGCCCCAGGGACTGGCAGAAGCCGGAGGGCCTCAGGGGCAGCCTTCTCCGGCACTGCGCTGTCAGGAGCAGCTGGACCTGCGACTCTGTGGCTCTGACAACTCCGTGTAATAAACCGCTGTTCTGAGCTGCTCGGCGGTGGGGGTTTGGGACAGCAGCCCCAGGAAGCTGTATGAAGTCATCCAGCTAGGCAGAGGGCTCGTCAGAAGGAACAGGGGCGTGTGGGAACTGCAGAAGCCTTTAAGTTCAATTCTGTACAAGTTGCTGTTTGGGTAGCTCAAAAATGGTAGGCTCCTTGGCAAGTCTGCGTAGTTCAGGGTCAGCTACTGAGTTCGGCTGAGGCAGGAGACTAGGGTACAGTAAGGTGGCTGGGACGATTGGGTATGACCTGTCAGCCAGGGACTCAGAGCAGCTGCTCCCAAATCCCGCACTTGATTCCAGTCTTCCGGCAGGAGATCTAGCAGGTTTCTGATGGGCTGGCCTGGACCTGACGTCAGAAAGAAGATACGAAAGGCGGCAGCCACGGGCTTTGTGTGGCCCCCCTCGTGTCCTCACCGTGGCCTATCCCGTGTGCAGGACGTCTCTTCTCCCTTGCCCTGCAGTGTATTTTTCTCCTCAGCCGTGTCTTTTGTGCTTCTTTTTCTTCTGCTTTTGTGCCCTAAGATGAGCGTTAAACCTTCGCCTTCCCCAATTGTTCTGACCAGTTCTTTGTAAGGGGTGGTGAAGTGTAGAAAGGACCACTGGTCCCACCGCTAGGCAAGGAAACTAATGTGTGTGTGTGAGCGGCCGGTGAGGGATTGACTTATTATATAAAGCTCAGCTCGGAATAAACAGTCTTCCTGACTCTGCAGCCCCTGAACACGGCCCACAAGAACTAGCAAGGATGTCACAGGCGTGTGGAGAGCAGCTGTTACCGCAAATGACTGGCAGGGAGCTGTAGGGATAAACGCTTCCCACGATTCAATACGTAATGGCTTTTACTTTGGGGAAAATGACTGTATAACTTGTTCCCCTACATGTTTTATGGCTTTAAAATGTATCTTAAGCACTCTTGGACATATCCCAAGAGTCATTCATCGTAATGAGAACTTGCTACACTTCTCTGAGCTGTAAGCAAAGCACTAGGATTCATCAACTGAGTTCTAGTTTTCCTCTGCCAGGTAGGGCCTGATGTGCAGATGAAGGACAAAGGCCCCTCGCCCGGATGTTCCCGGGAAACAACTCATCAGGCAAAGGTACGGTGCTGCCGGGAAGCATTTGCAGCCCCTCGGGTGCACGTACACAGGAGGGGGAACCAGGCCTCAGTGAAAATTTGTCCTGTGCTGCCCCTGTGCCCCCGAGGCCACAGTAGCCATCCGGGTTCTTGCTCAGGTACTGCAGGTGGTAGTGTTCTGCATAGTAGAAAGTCTGGCCCTCCCGGATATCGGTGGAGGTTGGACCAAAGCCGTGCTAGAGAGGAGAGAGAGAGATGTCAGGACCCGGTCTGGACACAGAGCTCCCAGAGGAGGAGGAGGAGAAGGAAAAGGAGGAGGAGGAGGGCGGGCAGGTGTGGTAGGCGGCAGATGGAGGCCTAGGTTGTGCACTGTCTCCGCGCTTCCCAGTGGGTGATTCTGGGCGGGCACTTTCCCCACTCTGCCTTGGTGAGCAGGGTCTTGAAGTCAGTTGTGAAACAGATTTCTGACCCTGAAGTTTGTGCTCCACTTGCTGCCCACTGCTGCCCAGAGCTTGCTGGGGCCCTGGCTGGTCCAACAGGGCAGGCACTGGCAGGGGCTGCAGCCTGGCAGGGCTCCTGTTTGGATGTCTCGGGGGCGGGGGTCCTGTGGGGTCTGCACTCTGAGCTCCGGCCAGGGAGGCTGGGGAGCAGTCGGGGAGGACGTGGCCTGAGAGCCTGTCAGCCCGCCCACCTTCTGTGACCCAGTTTAGGTCTGGCGGCATCTGTGTTGATGTCAACACAAGCTGGGGGCGGCGAGTGGAGCTGTTTGGGGCAGGAGATGTGTGAGGCACTGCAAGCTGCTCCCCACCAATGTTAGCGGCTCACTCTGCTTTGGGACAGCAGCTGCAGCCCGGCTCTTGTTTAAGGTGGGTCAGGTCATTCGAGTAATGCCACAGATGTCCCACTCCAGGTCCACTGGGACAAGTGTGCTGTTTCCCCCCCTCTGGGGGCTGTCTGTGTGCTGACAGCCCATCGGTCTCCTGGGGGTGATGTCCTCAGGTTGGCTGAGAAGGGCAGTCTGGTCTTAGGGTTCCACTGCTCTGAGCTGACCTTCCCTGGTGCCCCAGTGACTTCCTGAATTTCCAGCCTCAGGGGAGCAATTAAGGAGGCTGGGGCTCTGCAGCTGGCCAGCCTTGAGTGTATGATTAGGGAGGGTTCCAGACGGGGCAGAACGGCACTCTGAAAGTGCAGGTGAAGGTGTTTCAGTGCAGGCCTTAAAAGTGCTAGTGTCGAGAGACAGCAAAGGAGAGTCGGCTGCCCCGGACTCACGACAGCAGGCGGCCGTGGGTGAGGAGATGACCTCGTGTTCCTGGGACTCAGGGGGACGGCAGGCACGTGTGTGGAGGCACAAAAGGAGCCCAACCTGAAGGGACCCAGCTACGGGCAGCATGAGGGCCTAAGCAGTAAGGGGACAGAAGCAGGCAGACTTGCTTTCTGCGCTCGTACCTTTGTCGGTACCTGTTGAAGGCAACCCCCGAAGCACTGAAGGTCCCAGGGAACTCGAGCCCTAAGCCCCAGCCTGCCAGGACCCCGGGAAAGACAGCAAAGGATCTGGCGGGGGAGTTGGCGCAGGTGGAACACAAAGGCTCAGCATCATCTAGCACATTCTCATGGAGGACCGAGTTGACGCCCTGGGCCATCCTGACTCTCCTGAGTCCCGCAGTCACCGTGTCATCACACCTGAGATTGCGTGCTGTGTTAGCACCACCTCCGCCTTTCTGATGCTCACAGGCATGATCGGGGCTGAGCACTTAGAAGCTGGGATTGCAGAAGTGAGGTTTTCAGCCAAGCTTTGTGAGGCAGAGGATGGAGAGTGTCTTGTTTTCCTGCAGTACCTGTGGGCAGGCGTCAGATCTCAGCAGATGGCAGTCATAAGGTTTGGTGTTGAACTGTGGGTTCTCTGTTGCAAACCCTCTCCCTGCTGCTGGAGATACTCCTGAGACCATTAGCAATGGGCTCCCGAGCTTCCACAAGCAGCCGTTCTCACCAGCCCTTTCGGTGGGTCCAGAAACATCTATTTTCCAAGATACATCCCTTTCTGCTGGAGACAGAGGGAGTGTTTTCTATTTTCTGATAGAATCCTGGTACAGTACTTGGTATTGAAAATGGTTACAGGAAATACAACAGCAAAGATAGGAATCCAAGGTGCACTGTTAGGCCTGGTTTGATTTGAAGGCCGTCAAAATATGACCTTTTTGCTGGGGGACAGTGGGCTATGGTAGGCCATGGTAAGCGGCACCGAAACAGTGACTCAAATGACTCCCTGTCATTACTAAAGTCAGTTACCTGTTAAAAGGAACCAGTCTTTTGCAGTAGAATGCACTGGTGGTAGAGGCAAGTAGGTACTAAATGCCTTGGAATGTTTACAGAAATAAAAACAAAACAAAACAAAAGCCCAACAATCTTGGGACTTTAAATTTTCAACTCCAAGGTATAATCCAGGAGCCAGAGAAGCCTCTACAACTGGGTTTAAAAGAATCAAAACCCAACCCAGGGTTGCCCCTGCGGGTGGCAGAATCATAGCAGACCTGGACCTCACCGTGACCTCCTTAGTGCTGCCATGAAGGTCTGCCAACTGGGAAGGAGGATGACTGTTAAAACCCCCGGGGTGGAGATGATCAAAGTATGTTATGGGCGTGGATCCACTATTCTGTATAACTAATACACATTAATAAAATTCCCAAGGCTCTAGACTCCTACTTCTGGTTGGTTTATTCTGGAGTACAACAGGCCTCTTCCCCTGACCTCTTTGCCCCTGGCTTTCCAGTCCTGCTCCTTCCCAGCCCTACCCAACTAGCCAAGCTATTCACCACTGCCCAAGAGGCTAACTTCAGCCCACCGTCTCTGCATGTGT